GAGGCTAAGCTGGAGCAGAAGGACAAGCCCCGTCTGGTCATTTTGGGTACGGGTTGGGGTAGCATCGCACTTCTGAAGCATCTCAACCCCGGCGACTACCATGTCACGGTTGTGTCCCCTACCAACTACTTCCTGTTCACCCCTATGCTGCCATCTGCGACGGTGGGAACTTTGGGGTTGAGGTCGCTTGTCGAGCCTGTTCGTCGGATCGTGCAGCGGGTGCACGGACATTTCCTCAAGGGTGAGGCGCAGGACGTTGACTTTTCCGAGAAGTTGGTCGAGGTGTCCCAAGTCGATGCCAATGGCAAGGAACAGAGGTTCTATTTGCCTTATGATAAGTTAGTTATCGGTGTTGGTACGTTCGAAACCCTTTTTCCTTCTGTTGGAGTTATGTTCCGTGAAACTAATTCTCCGATCCTATAGGTTGTGTAACCAACCCCCACGGCGTTAAGGGACTCGACAACTGCCACTTCCTGAAGTCGATCGACGATGCCCGGAAGATTAAGAACAAGGTTTTGGAGAACATGGAACTTGCCTGCCTGCCCACGACTAGTGATGACGAGCGCAAGCGTCTCTTGTCCTTTGTTGTTTGCGGCGGAGGCCCGACGGGTGTTGAGTTCGCCGCGGAGCTGTTCGATCTGCTCAACGAGGATCTTCTTCACTCCTTCCCTAAGATCCTTCGGAACGAGATCTCCGTGCACATTATCCAGAGCCGTAGTCACATTCTGAACACCTACGATGAGGCTCTCTCGCGCTATGCTGAGGTCAGTCCAGGGTCCCCATTCGTCAATCCAGGAGTCAACATTACTGACCGACCACACAGTCCCGTTTCGCTCGCGACCACGTCGATGTATTGACGAATGCCAGAGTGGCGGAGGTTCGTGACGACCGAGTCCTCTTTACGCAAGAGGAAGACGGCAAGCGCATCCTGAAGGAGATCCCCATGGGCTTCTGCCTGTGGTCTACAGGTGTCGGTACGTAACCTCGCCTTACAGTTCTCCGACAGAAATACTCACACCTTTAACCAGCCCGTGCCGATCTCTGCAAGCGTCTCTCCGACAAGCTTGAATCCCAGAACAACAAGCACGCCCTCGAAACCGATTCTCACCTTCGTCTCATCGGCGCACCCCTCGGTGACGTTTACGCCATTGGCGATTGCTCCACCGTCCAGAACAACCTCGCCGGCAACATCATGTCCTTCCTCCGCACCATCGCCTGGGAGAAGGGCAAGGATCCCGAGAAGCTGCACCTGACCTTCCGCGAATGGCGCGAAGTAGCAACCCGCATCCGCAAGCGTTTCCCTCAAGCCTCGAACCACCTCCGCCGTCTGGACAAGCTCTTCGAGCAATACGACAAGGACCAGTCCGGCACTCTTGAGTTCGGCGAACTCTCCGAACTCCTGCACCAAATCGACACGAAGCTCACTTCCCTGCCCGCTACGGCGCAGCGCGCGAATCAGCAGGGTGAGTACCTGGGCCGCAAGCTGACCAAGATTGCGGCTGCATTGCCGGGTATGCAGGCGAACCAGATTGACTACGGGGATCTGGACGAGGCATGCTACAAGGCTTTCAAGTACAAGCACCTGGGAAGTCTGGCATACATCAGTAACGCTGCTATCTTCGACTTTGGCGGTTTGAACTTTAGCGGTGGTGTCCTGGCGATGTACCTGTGGCGTAGTGTTTACTTCGCCGAGAGTGTCAGCTTTAGAACGAGGTGTATGTTGGCCATGGATTGGGCCAAGCGGTCGTTGTTTGGAAGAGGTAAGTTTTTTATTTCCTCGATCCCATCCTTTCGTTTTTCTTTATAGTATCAAGTTGCTAATGGGTCGTGCAGATCTCATGAGCTTTTAAATGTGTTTTTTCCTATGTCCATCTTCAGCGGTGATGCGCATTTGATAACCTGATCGATTGCTGTCACCGGACTGGGGGTCATGTATTAACATGGCCTGCAGTCACCACACTACCGCCATTTCTATATCTTCTACTTATGCCCTACGAACAGCTACTTAGTAAATAACAGAATATGTCTCTTTTCTTATATAGCATTGAGTGTCACTGCTCAAGCCTATCTAGATTTTGTGACACATTCCATGCTCTAACCACTACATCGTAGAATTAGCATGGAGACGTTGATTCATCTTCGCAATTATCTGCATGTGTGATCACCAATCATGCATTCCTGCGGATTCTGCTTTTTTTCATTAGGCATATTGCTTTTCTTCCCCATCATGATAATCCGTAACGGCTGATCCCAACTTACTTGGATAACGAGCACCAAAAGAATTCTTATTGTTAAACCAAAAAAAAAAAAAAAAAAAAAAATAGAGTCCTGCCTATCTACATAAGTGGCAACCTTCTTCCCACATGCCAGCAGCCAACTTCCGATTAAATCTCTCACCCCTTCTAACATACAGCTACTTTGAGGTACATGATTGCTCACCGGGTCAGTTTTAGTGTGCCGCGTACTGAGAGGCTTCAGGGCTTCACACCTGCCCCGGTCTTTTCAAATGAATCTTGTGCGACGGTAATTGAATAGAAAAGTTATATTGCTTATTCATTGGTATTATACCCCGCTCTAACCTCATTTGGGCCCTGTGTAGACTTCATACTTGTTACCCTGGCTATTTGTGACCTTGCTATTACTCTAAGACTGGGTATCGTGTCTAATAACGAGGTGGTTTTTGAAATGTCAAAGCTCACTTAACAAGATGTAGATGCCTTGAAGAGTAGAATGGTTTACTTGAACTACTAACTATCTTCCAAGCCCAAGCCCGATACCTCCAATGCGGCAGCAACGCAAACACAGTGAGCTTTTAGATGCTAAATTTTGATTGAATGATAATAATAAGCAATTTAGTGATAGCACTGCTTCATTTAGAAAGATGGATGATGTCTACCTGCATGATCTATAGATCATGTGTATGCCATACCCCTTTACATGACTTTGTGAAACGAATGGTTCGAAACCAACACCTCCCCATTTTACAATCCAGTACAATAAACCATATATACTATATAGTAGTATATACTCTTAACAATTGATAGATGACCCCACTGATGCTCATATACTGTCCATAAAACCCTAATGATAAGGACGCAGCTCGGTGTGTTAAAGCTTGCCACGACATGTTTGAAACTTCGCTTCATGCTCCAGGGCTTGTAAATGTTAAGAGAACTACTGGTAGTTAGTTCACTACTACTTATAGTTGTATGGTGATGGGCTTCAGGTTGTGTTTTTTCCATAGCTTGTGACGATGGACCGTGTTGGATCTAGCACCTTCAATTTTTCCTATTAATATGCTATTTCTCCTGTGTTTTCGTGCAAATACAGAGACATGTTATTGGTCTTGGATGTCAGTTTACATCATATGAAGAAGGGAATCCCTGCTGCCTTGAATATTGTAGGTTGTAGTATGTTTTCATACTCGTGCAGTATTACATACGTTACTATGTATAGCAATGAATCAATCTAGCCCCGCACAAGAACAGAAATGCCCGGGTACTAAAGGCCCTATATGAGTTTCGACGTCCATGTTCAGCCTTTCTTCAAACACTGGGAAGAAGAAAAGTAGATGAACGATTTGTCATCTACTCCTGGGCCCCCGCTTCATTGCTTGCATTGGATTTCTTGATGCGCCACAGTCCAAGAGGTTTGTGTTGCACACAATGTCTAGTACTGATTAATTTGGTAAAATGTTGGTCGGTCGATCATATACAGACCGGCCAGCCAAACAAAGGCTTTGTAGGAGACAAAAAGTTAAAGTACTTATCTAGCCCTATATGTAGGAATAAGTAGTCAATTGGATACCACCAGACATATTCTTGTAGACTTCAATCATTTTCATCACCACCACCACTGTACCTTTCCACCATGCCTACTAGCCTGTCTGCGCTATGAGATAAAGATTGTTGGTGAAATTCAAACTGACCGCCTATAGCTGCTGCTGCTGCTGCTTTTATAAGTATCACCAGTACATCTGAACACCTGACTAGGCTTCTCATTTGTGCTTCATTATATCCCAAGTTCCACCTGCTCCTACAATAGTGAGACCAAAGTTAGTAGTCTAATGGGGTTGAGCAATCTTTAAAGCCAAATCAGCCCCATCAGGAAGCCCCACTTGCCCAATGTACCTTTGCATGTGGCAAAGCCGGGATTTGAATCAATCATATTGCTTTTCTTTGTATTTCATTAGTGTAACAAGTGCACTTGCGCGAATTCCTTTCGCCTCGCCTGTTCCAGTGTCCGTTTATAACAAAGAGTGCAATGAAGCGTTTACAGTATCGTAGGTGAGGCGAGTTGACGCTGCAAAGATGCGAATCAGAGATAGTGATGAGAAGTGGGAACATGGATTTATTAATCATAATGTTCACTGCTTTTGTCTTATGCCTAGATTGCTTAGTGCCGTATTTTTGATCTTCAAAGATAGTTCAAGATACTCCAGAGTTGTGATTGGTCCTGTTTTCAGTTCAACTCCTGTTTGCTTTTACCTGAGACAATCCTTTTGGGCATATTCTGTGTACCATGTGGTCATCGCTAACTAGATTCAGGTAGTTAAGTACTATTGGTATACTACTACCTCGTAGTGTCGTTTTCCGTAGCCATAGCACCTGTAGGCCCCATTGGTCGGTGAAGAGGACGATAATACTGCCGATATCGATGTGCTTGTTGTGTCCGATCTGATGGGATTCGAGATCGGGCTCTTGGTGTGGGTATTTGAGGAGGACGAGGGTTGAGTTGGAGTCTTCTTTGTCTTGATGGAAGGTCTCGAGGGCTTCGGATTTCAGTCGAATCCTTGACATCGCAACTCATATATAATATCCAAGGCCCATGATCTCATTTCCGACGTCGATGCTGACCTGACAGGAGTGAACCTGGAACAAATTGCTCCAGAAGAAGTCCGGGTAACAGGCATTGTGGGCATGCCACTTTCCCGACGACAAAACTAGGGTTAACCACTTTCGGAGGATATCAGGCCGAGTTTCATGCTTTCATGACGGGAAATGATATTGACGAGAAGTGCAAGTGGACTGAAGAACAGATCCGAGAGGCAATCGGTGAGGATATCCACCGGTTCACTCACCTGAGATTCCATCGTATTGGGTCCCCGTCCCTCGACACTACCTGTCAGGATCATGCAACGGTGATTTTCCGTGTCTTTGCGCAGACTAAAGACCCGGGGATCTTGCGGACTGATGTACCTAGAGGGTTGTTTAGATTGTGCATGTCAACATTTCTTTCTAGTTGCCCGGTTGATTACCCTACTTTATCACTAGTATTCCTGTGGCTAAGATCTTATAGGCCCTAACCCCCAGCAACGACCCCCGACAAGTCCACGCAAAACCATACAACAACTATAACACGGGACTCATTCCTCAATCTGTCCTCAAGCATAGAGTACATCTCCTCGCGGCCGATTCTAAGAAAGTCATCACAATCAACCCACCCAGCGTGACCCAAACATACGGCACCCAGCCCTCCCACGAAACAGACAACCCCGTTAACATCTCCGCCTTCGGAGAGACAGTCAAAGCCCCCCTGGGTTCCGTCGTTTATGGTAGAGCCGGCGACAAAGGAGCCAACTGCAATGTGGGCTTTTACGTGAAACACCAAGATGAATGGGACTGGCTTAGGACATTCCTTACGACGGACAAGATCAAGGAGCCGCTGGGACCGATTGAGTATTCCGGAAACCAAACCGACCGATTCGAGATTCCTGGCGTAAGAGTGGTGCAATTCCTGCTTCATGATCATTTTGATCGGGGCTATAGTTCGTCTTCGAGTTGTGATGTTCTGGGGAAGAATACGTGCGAGTTTCTGCGGTCGAAGACGGTTGATGTTCCCAAGGTGTTTTCGCAACGTTATTAGTTTGCTTTCAGCTGATTTTGTATCCTGCGGTTGCTTATGGGTTTTATGCCATGTTGGTCATGTTATTCGGACTTTTGAGGAAATTCTTGGAAGACTTTATTGCTAACTGAACAATTCATGTTCACTCTCTGAATACGGGCCAGTTGTCTTCCTGGAAGATAATGGCTATTACTACTATAATATATCTGAAGTGGATTTGAATAATGTGCTACTATAGTGACAGAGTTGAAAGGAACTAGTAGTAACTAGATCCTTTGCTTTTCCTCTCAGTAATAGTCCTGAAATAGAACAATTGAAGCCGTTTATAGACAGCTCGGTCGATATAAATATTTCCTTGGTTCTACTGGCAATTGTCGACACATCGCTTGAAGAAGTAGTAGATCTACTGATGAAGGCTAGCAGATTCTTTCATAGCATAGGATTTAACTATAGTACTGTCCGATTTATGGAACAGAACCATAAGGTCAATTCATGTACACGGCGCTTCATGGGGCTCTTGATACCCGCGTAGTATATGCCACGGAAGGCTAGAGATAGCGGGATGGGAGCCTTTCGAGGCTTTCCGGAATTAAGAAGATCTACATTTGCCGACTGCTTCTGAAACAACAAAAGTACCGTGCTGTCAAGTATACACGATTGACATTGTAGCGATTGTTTGGCATTTCCAATCATGGTGGTATGATGTTGATTTGCTTTGTGCCCCAACCCATAGCTTGACATTGCTGCAGGGTAGGCAACTGCAACGTGGTTAACTACTGGGTAACCTTGGGTTTGATACGAATAAGCCAATTGAAAAACCTCTTGGGTCTGTTCGATTGCTAAAATTCAATCCGTTCTGCACACAAAACTGTCGGCGGAGACCAAATGTCAAGTCATAATATGTTATGTATCCCGATATTGAACCGTAGATGTTACAAGAGGGCCGTTGAATTTGACACCTGCTGGTAGCCTGCACCCAAACGCCGTGCTCAATGGTGAACGAAGAAATTCGTCTGGTGATACGTGAAATGGAAATATTATGTACCAGGTGATCACAGATCGAAGCCTGGATTTATGAGATCATGGGGTCGATATCCCCATTATTGGTCATTACGGTGTCGTTAGAGCCATTGTGGCTGGCACTGGTCGAACTGGCCAAGGGATTACTGTTGTGGGTGTTGGGGTTATCGCCCAGTCCGAGGTCCAGCTTCTCGGGTATATCCTTCTTAGCCTCCCGGGCTTTCTGTTCGGCCCACGCGCGCAATTTGACCAGGTTGCGTAGCCGGGCCTCTTTACGAGCGCCTTGATTCAGCAGGATGGCTTCGTTGACGCGGTTGGCTATGTCCTTACGAAGGTCGGGATGTAGTAAAGGGGCAAGTGACGGGGACAGGCTATCCATCGGGAAGATCAAGAGCGCAAGAGTCCTCTCAAGATCCTCGAGGAACTGGGGGTTGGTGGGTGCCCGCGGTGCGAGTTGCGAGGTCGCGAACTCAAGGGCAGGGCTGATGTCGCCATCGGGGGAAGAGGTGCATGAGCGAATCAACTCCACCAGCTGCAGTCGCAGCAAGGCGAAGTGTAAAGGAGCATTTTCATCTAGGATCTAAGCCGGTCAAGTCAGCAAAAAGCTATGAAATGAATGTGATGACAAGTAACGGCATGTTTATGTCTTGCTGCTCATACTGAGGACTGAAGATGTTTGTTTATCAACAAACCCCAAAAGGGATGTTCTGAGTGGTGCATGAAACGTCGTATAATCCTTGCAACGTGGGTGGGTGGGAAGGGGATGAGATAGGAGGAGTGTCTTACCTGTGGGTTGAGCTCATTGATCTTCTCAATGGCAACTTGGATATTCCCAGAATGAATTGCAGTACGAATGTCAACTCTTTCCTGAATCGACTCGATATCTGCTCTAGGTTGGATGTTGGCCTCTAGTGCGAATTTCTTCGCAGCAGCTGGGTAGCCGTTGGTGATTAGGTAATCCATGACTAGATAATTGATATCACTTTAAGAGGACAGTCAGCATTTGAAGTCCATCTGGCAAATTTGTAGATGACAAGGCAAAGTCAAACGAAGGGTTCAGAAACACAAGTCAATATATTCTCCTCAGTTGTTTTTCAGAGAGATTCCCAACTTGATTTCAAGGTACATCATGCAATCGTGGCGCGCGACGGAAAGGTGGGGTAAATCACTCACGTTTTGGATGGTTTCACCTCCTCGACCTTCCGTTCGAACTGATGCCATGTTGGCGTCGTCGAGGAAGAGGGAGACATCTGCTTCCTGTTAAAACCAGGCAACCACGCGGCACACACGGCATGTCAGGACGCATACGTAATTGGCAGAGGACATGGTGAAGAGCTTAGTGGATGCGGAATTTCGCAGTAAGATGTCAAGTGACCTGGTAGCGAGCAAGAGGCCGTCTGTGAAGATGGAAAGCTTCGCAGACGGGAGCCATTAGGATGCTCGGGGCAGAAGAGTGAGTGAAGAGAAGAAGAGAGAAGAAGAAAAAGAAACGGCGGGAAGGAAGAGCTCTATTTAAAGGAAGAAAAAGCGGCGGGTGTTAGGTCACGTTCACCAGCTAAGCCTAAAGCCGCAAGCGAAGGTCACGGCCCCGCCTAGTCCTGATTGGGGCAAGCGCCGATCACTTGGTCCCTTTTGGAATTGGAGTGTATCGCCGAAGTCTCTCTTATCGGTTCCAAAGCTTGTGTCGCCGGCGCTTCTTTGCTGCTGGTGTCCTAAACTGAATTTGCTTTTGTTCCCCCCGGTTATGATCAGGCCGGCCTGTCACTAGTCCCTTCGTTTCGGCAGGTCAGTTCTTCGGTGAGGGTCGGCAAGATGCAGTCAATCTCCCCTGTATACTCGTCCGCGACAGACAGGCGCTACTCTCCACCATGGGCGGATTTGAGTATTATCGGCATCGCTGGCAGCTCCGGCTCCGGCAAGACCTCAGTGGCCATGGAGATTGTGAAGTCCCTGAATCTTCCCTGGGTTGTGATTCTCGTAATGGTATATGCGACCGCTTTCATAATTGTTTAGCCTAATAAATCTTTCCACTTTGTGTTCTCTAACGGCGGTGTGGTATAGGACTCCTTCTACAAGAGCTTGTCCCCAGAGGATCATGCCAGAGCCCACCGCAATCAATATGACTTTGACTGCCCGGAGTCTCTGGATTTTGATGTCCTGGTCCAAACGCTAAGGGATTTGAAGCAAGGGTATGGTCTATGAGTATCTTGTTGTAGTTTCTGGTGGGGCACGTGCCATATATGGAAGCTGACAGGGTTCCTTCAAACTATCTAGAAGAAAAGCAGATATCCCCATTTACTCGTTTGCAGAACACCAGCGTCAGCCTGAAACGAGTACCCTGTACTCCCCTCGCGTATTGATCCTGGAGGGTATATTGGCCCTGCATGACCCGAGGATCATGGAGCTTCTAGATGTCAAGGTAAGTTCCGCACGTCCTTTAGATCTGAACCGTCGCTCATATTATTCAATAGATCTTTGTTGAAGCAGACATGGATGTCTGTCTCGGGCGCAGAAGTCAGTTGTTCTACTATTAACCGGTTGGTACTGCTCTAACGGAGAGGAAGCTAGTCATGCGCGATGTTCGTGAGAGAGGAAGAGACGTCGAAGGTATCGTCAAGCAGTGGTTCACTTATGTGAAGCCCTCATACAAGCAATACGTTGAACCCCAACGAGCTGTGTCTGGTATGTACGACTTCTCCATAAGCTGAATCAGGTCTGACAAGCTCCAGACATCATCATTCCCCGTGGTATCGAAAATCGGACGGCCATTGGTAAGAGTGTCTGCTCCTTCTCCCTTGGATCAACACACTAACTCCGGCTTAAGAAATGGTTGTTCAGCATATTCAGCGCAAACTTGATGAGAAGTCAGAGAAGCATAATGCAGAGCTCAACCGACTTGGTCTCATCGCCTCGGAAGAGCAACTATCTTCTAACGTCTTGATGATGCCTCAAACACCGCAATTTGTTGGCATGAACACCATCCTCCAGGATCCGGCAACGGAACAAGTTGACTTTGTGTTCTACTTTGACCGACTTGCCGCTTTACTGATCGAGAAGTGAGTTAACCTGGCGTCGCTGTGCTCCGCGCACATCGCATGAGTTTGTCAAATCATAGCTTACATGTTATTAACTGCACAGGGCTTTGGATATGACCAACTACGTATCACAAGCAGTAGATACACCTCAATCGACCAGCTATGAGGGTTTGAACCAAGCTGGTGTAGTGTCTGCTGTTGCAATTCTGCGCGGAGGGTCTTGCCTAGAGACCGCGCTCAAGCGCACCATACCTGACTGCATCACCGGTCGTGTGCTGATCCAAACCAATGAAAAGAACGAAGAGCCCGAGCTTCACTACCTTAAGCTCCCTCCCAATATTGAGAACCACGAGAACGTCATGCTCCTCGACCCTCAGATGTCCAGTGGAGGTGCTGCTCTAATGGCGGTCCGTGTTATGATTGACCATGGTGTCCAAGAGGACAAAATTATTTTCGTGACCTGCGCTGCAGGCAAGATCGGTCTGAAGCGACTGACCACAGTGTTCCCTGAAATTAAGGTTATAGTTGGTCGCATTGAGGAAGAGCGCGAACCCCGGTGGATTGAAAAGAGATATTTCGGCTGTTGAGTCACGGTCAGGATCTGAGCGTGGAGTATATGAGCTGTGGAAATAGGCCTATATATATGCATCTCACTACATGGACGTGATATAATGAAAATAAAAAAAATTCTATAAAACACAATTTGAGCATGTGCAACCACTAAATCAGACGACGGAGTTAATCTGAACCTTCGGAGAAACGCACGGACCACATCCAAGGCTCGCCGAAGAATCTTTGGTTCCGCCGCCAAAAAATTATCCATGATCATCACTTTTTCAGCAATCACCTTAACCAGACGATCCACTCTTCTTCTATCACCAGAGGGTTCTAAACTTCTTATTCTATACACATCTATCTGAATAAAAGTTCATTGCCGACAGGCGTGCCACCATGCCTGACCACAAAAAGAAAGGCAAGAAGGCCGGCGCCGCCAAAAATGACCCCGGCTCGGTGATCAGTACGTACCTTACCATCAACCCATCCTAATATCTCAAAGCGAGAATGTAACACATAACTAACCTATTCTCTTTGCTGAAACTAGCCGACCCCAGATTCGCCAACATCCAAACCGACCCTCGCTACCGTCTTCCCAGCAAACGCCAAACCCATGTTAAGCTCGACAAGCGTTTTGCGCACATGTTGCGCGACAAGGATTTCTCCCGCAACGCCGCAGTCGATAGGTACGGCCGGAAGCTCGCCAGCGACGACACCAAGAAACAGCTCGAGCGATTCTACCAGCTGGACGAGGATGCGCAGGAGGGAGAGGAAGATGAAGAGGAAGGCGAGGACGAGGAAGACGATGGTCTTGAAGACGCCAGCGTTGCAGATGACGAGGAGGTGCTTAGAGAGCTGAGAAAGGCAGAGTCGTACGATCCGGCAAGAGATGGAGGATTCGATGAGTCTTCGTCCTCGGAGGAGGAGAGCTCCGACGAGGAAGATGAGGACGAAGAGGAGTTCGAAGGGTTTGGCGAGGAGCTGGAATATCCTGATAAGCAGCGGGCGGATGTGCCTACTGGCGATGTTACGGATCGCATTGCGGTGGTGAACTTGGATTGGGATAACATCCGCGCGGAGGATCTGATGGCTGTCTTCTCCAGTTTTGCGCCGACTGGTGGGAGGGTGTTGAAGGTCGCTGTTTATCCCAGTGAGTTTGGCAAGGAGAGGATGGAGAGGGAGGAGACGGAGGGGCCGCCTAGGGAGATCTTTGCATCGAAGAAGGGTGGTGACTCTGAGGATGAGGATGAAATCGATTCTGATGAGGAGGAAGAGAAGATCAAGCAATCTATGCTGAAGGAGGATAAGGGCGAGGAGTTCAACTCGACACAGCTTCGGAAGTATCAGTTGGAGCGCCTACGTTACTTCTATGCTATCTTGACTTTCTCGTCTAGGGACGTTGCAAAGCACGTTTACGATTCCGTCGATGGTGCTGAGTACTTGTCTAGCGCCAACTTCTTCGACCTCCGCTTTGTGCCTGAGGACACTGACTTTTCTGACGATACGCCCCGCGACGAGTGCACACGCATCCCCGATGGGTACCAGCCGAACGAGTTCGTTACCGATGCGCTGCAGCACAGTAAGGTCAAGCTGACCTGGGATATGGAGGATAAGTCGCGCAAGGAAGCTCAGGCTCGGGCCTTCCGGGGTAGTCGCAAGGATATCGACGAGAACGACCTGAAGGCTTATCTGGCTAGTGATAGCTCCGATGATGAGGAGGATGAGGGTGGTGTGGAGATTGTTGATACTACGCGCGGGGATGGGGAGACAAAGAAGGTGTCTAAGAAGGAGGAAGAGAAGCAACGTCTCCGGGCTCTACTTGGTCTTGGTGCGGAGCCTACGCCTTCGTCCAAGTCCGATGGTCCTGTTGGTGAGATGGAGGTTACCTTCACTTCCGGTCTGGCTGGTGGTCCTAAGGGCGACAGCATCTTCGAGAACGAGCCTGAGAAAGATGAGACTACGATTGAAAAGTACATTCGCAAGGAGCGTGAGAGAAAGAAGCGCAGAAAGGAGAAGCTCAAGGCCACCAAGCGTGGTGAGGATGGCGAGCAGGAGGACGATGCCGCTGATGCCTCGGATACTAAGGAACAGCCCCAGGAGGACGACCTGGGCTTTGACGATCCCTTCTTTGACGACCCTAGTGGCAAGGCTACTGCTGCTGCTCGTCGTAAGGAAGAGAAGCGCAAGAAGCGGGAGGAGCGTGCAGCGGAGGAAGCTGCGGCCGCAGCCAAGCGGGCGGAGCTGGAGCTGCTCATGATTGACGACAACAACAAGCCTGGCATCAAGCACTTCGATATGAACGAGATTGAAAAGGCGGAGAAACAAGCTCGCAAGAAGAACAAGAAGGGCAAGAGTAAGGGCAAGCAAGTTGAAGCTCCCAAGGACGACTTCGAGATGGAAGTCACCGATCCTCGTTTCGCTCGACTCTACGAGAGCCACGAGTTCGCCATCGATCCTACCAACCCCCGATTCAAGGCGACTTCGGGTATGAAGGCTCTGTTGGAGGAGGGTCGGAAGCGACGCAGGGATCGGGATGAACATGCAGACGAGGAGGATGCTCCTCGTGAACAAAAGAAGAAGCAGAAGAAGAGTGCGTCCAAGGAGGGCGGATCGGATGATCTGAAGAAGCTGGTCGAAAAGGTGAAGCAAAAAACCAAGCGTAACTGATTGGCTTGTACTATATTTAGTTGACTACCTACTACCCCTACTACTACTCAGCTATCATGAAAGCGTCATCACTGGGATGACGATGCAGATACCATTGGCTAAAAGGTTCTTGTGTTTAATTTGAGAGATTTTGAGCGTCTGCCTATGATCTGGACGGCAATGTCATTGTTTGTTCCTTGTGTACCCCTGCGCTGTAGCTTGCCGTATTATTATTCGACCTATCGCTGTGGCTCTCATTAGTCCAAGCTACTTCCCCCCTGATTCCACCATGTATAACCCATGACGGGCGTAGGCGAGTCATGACAGACAATGTATAGATCCGGCATTCACGGAGGAAATCCTGGTGAATCAGAGTTGGGTTGAGGGGCGTTGAAATCCCGACTGGCGCAGATTCCCGCCCAAACGCTGCCTAGCCCATGCAACATGAGGTGATTGTGTGACGGATTGGGCCGTGTGCAGGGGGGCAGTCGAGCGCTGACAGGCCCAAAAGGCCGTGAAGTTGCAGGCGATCGGCCGCGACGAGATGAGGCTGAGATCATGTGCGGTACGGCCAGCTTCACCGCCCTTTCGGGAACTCGTCGCTGTTTCTTCCCCAATATTCCCCTCCTCCTCCTCCTCCCTCCCTCCCTCCATCTCTTCCCTTCCCTTCCCTTCCCTTCCCCTCTGGCCAATTCATTACCCCCCCGGTCCTGCCAATTCATTCCCACTTGTTTGCGTCTCCCTCCGCAGTGGGAAGTCGCTCTAAATTCATCTGGATCGATTGGCTTCGATTGCATCCCCAGTCACTTAATCCTTTCCGGCCCAATTGGCGGCTGACTAACCCCCTTCTGGACACGGGCTGTCGCTACTACCACTAGTTCATTACTATCACTTCCTTTTCCGACTACTTACTTTGCTTCACTTACCACTCCTATTACTGCCTATCCCCCCTGCAAGTGGGCGTGTCTGGCCTCCACAGTGAAAGAAGGCTCCCCCCCCGTTCATTCCTTCTGGATGGCTTGATCATGGTTGGCATTCGGCGGGATTGAACGATGGGTGCTGCAGCTCATTCTAGTATATCTGTCTGAGTGTTGGTTTCTTGCCTTGATTTCCTAGCTTAATTATTTCTTTTTTGTTTGCTTCTCGGCTCGAGTGCTTGACCCCTCCTTCATCGGCATTCCCTCACTGGCCTTTACTTCCTGCAGGCTTGCCTTATTTCGAATTGCCAACATGCTGGGTCGACTGTTGAGCACTGCCGCGGCTACTCTAAATCCGGCGACTTACAACGCCAAAAACGCTCACCAATTAGAATCCGTCACGGAGGAGGAACATACATCTGGCTTACTATTCCCCGATGCTAGTCTCCTCCGACATTCCCATACGCACGCATATCCGCTGCATACAGCCTACAATTCCCCGAACGCTTCTACGGCTGGTGCCTATGATGATCGCGGCGGTGTCGAGTTGGACCCGTTGAAGGATTTCCGGGTTATAATTGCACAGAATGCATTGGGAGATCGAGATGCTTGTGTCTTGTTGGACACACGCGCCAGTTCGCAGGATCAGACTTCTATGGGACTTGGGTTGGAACCTCAGGTGTTCGACAATACCACCGGTGCGAGACATGCCCGTACGGTATCGAATCTCACCCGTGGGCCACGGCGGGGCTATTTGTCGCAGTCGTCAGCCGCGGAGCCAAGCCCACTCTCTATTGCCGCGGAGACACGGAGGTCACCTCCCATGTCGTCTGGCGCTTTCATGAGGGCTCGTGGTCGTAGTTCCACACTGTCGCCGGCGGGAAGCTATCATGAACCTGGCCACCCTCGCTATGCTACGGACTCGAATGACACGGGTCTGTTAAATTGCATTTTCGGCAGCAGCGCGTTTAGCTATAGGGGGTCATCGACGAAGATGCATATCATCTCTGCCGATGATGAACCTGGCAAAACTGCACCCACATCCCCTGCAACCCGCAACTCACTGTCGCGGGCGTATACAACTGGAAGTCAATCGGCCTTTACAAACACCAGCCGCGGGAATGAATCAAGACCACCAGCAAAGGTTACGATACTCCTGACTAGAATGTTCAGCGTCCATCTTCCCGAAGGTGGTGAGACGTCTCCGGATGGCATGAACGCGGCTGGTTCTGTGAACCAAGATTCACTTCCGAACAGCGGTTTTCCCTTTCCAGATGTCACGAAGCGTCGGAAGATCAAGGAAAAAAAGACACCGATGTATGCTGTGGCTATCACTATTCAGATCCCGCTCCTCTCTCGAAACGCAGGGCGACCGGCCTCTCGGTTCAATGCCCAGGGCCCGGACTCTCCCAAACCGGGAATGTCGTGCTCCTTGGATTCGGACTACCGTTTCCGTGGGGGTTTCCTCGATGACAGTTTGTCCCTTGCAAGCCCGCCTGCGAGCCTGGATGAGCGCATTGATCTTCTGGTTGATCATTGGGATGTAATAAACCGCACCCTGTCACACTTGGAGAGACTTTCGCGAAGGGAAATCCTTTTTCTGCTGAAGAAGGTAGATTCCTCTTCAGCCATGCATCCAAAGCCAGCTAAACCCCCAAACATGCAACGAACAAATCAAACATTTGTCCACCTGCCTGCGAATATCTTGGCCGTAAATTCCAGGCTACGAGACGAAGCGATCCGCAGCAGCCGTCGCATTAGCACGGCGTTGCAAATGCCATTCGTCGTAACCGGCCAGAATCGGTGGGGCGTGTGGCGTGAGGAAGGCCGCTCCATCATTCGCAGCATTGGAGATAAGGACCACAGCTTCTTCTTCCTTGTTCTTATTACAGCTTTCCTGGGTAACCATACTGAGTGGCTCAATGCCCTTGGTCCCGAGTGGTACCGACGGAGGCATTATCTGCAGCAGAAAGCCCAGCAGGATTCTGACCCGCTTCTTGCTCACCGCACTGTCATTATATCGCCTGACAAGATGACGGCGCGGAGACTTATTTTCCTGCTTGCAGTCTTTCTTCCACCGAAACAGCGTTTCGAGCCTCTCCCTTCCCCTATCAGGCCGGGCACCGCGGCTTCCACGAGGGCCATTTCTCAGAGCCCGCCAAATGTCCCGGTTCTGCGGCAGGAGTCCCTGCGGAGAGTGATGGAACGTCGATCTCGCGCACAACGCCTCACTCTTAGTGAAAGAGAACAGCACCAGCGGTCCGTGAGCGTTTCGTCGTGCGAGACGGCGCATCGTTCCACGGACGAGACCGAGCCATCGGTGACCCCGGACTTCACTACCATGCGCCGGGGATCCGACGCCCGCTCCATTCGAGCATTAGGCGTGCCCGTCCACGCCAAGGATATGCGCGCGAGGAATACGAGTGCGGCGACAACATCAACCACCACTCCTGGTAGCACTGTTCCGGTTCCCCACTTCGCTTCTCAAGGCCGCTCCGAGCGCGCAGGGTCGGACCAGGCAGTGGCTGACGGACCTGACAGCCTCGCGTCCGAAACACTGCTGAGGAGCCTTCAACGAAGCGAAAGCACAAACACTAGTGCGAATGGCAGTGTACCATCTGCTAACGGTCGATGGGGGAACATATTCTCCGGTCTGTGGAGCGCCCGTCAGGAATCGTCTACTGGTGACAGCGAATCTGTGGCACCAACCGACACCCGCAAACGGTCCGTGTCAGTGTACACAAATCCTCCGAGGCGCCCTCCTCCCACACTGAGTCAGATGGTCAAAGAGGCCTCGCTCGGACCTACCGAAGTCTCTCCGAAAAGCGCAACTAGCAACCATATTTCCATTCCTCAGGCTTCAAATGCCCACCATGGTTATGAAGACGACGATGCCCCGGATGAGGCTGCGGCTACGGACCAAGCGAGAGAGTCGTCGCTGAAGTTGTCAGTCCGAGGAGATGATGGCATTGTTGATGTTGATCTTCCTTTGCCCGGGTTCGTCTCGCTTTCTTCATCTGGCGATTCCACAATGGCATCTCCGAAGAAGACGCGAACGTCGGTTACTAGTGTTGACGCCGTAGCGTCTACGCACAGCAGCACCTCCGGCTTTCCCTCTACCTTGAAAGACAGTGATGGACCTAACATGAACGTTGCTGGCTGGCTGAAGAGCTTCCATGATGACTTCTTACTTCAAGCGGTCCGGCCCTATAATGGGCTCGAGGCCGACATCAAGCGTGCCATGCAAGGAGAACCGATGTCAAGCCAGGCCGCGTGTCTTGATGCGGACGGATCCGGACGATGGGTTGATGTTGCGACCACTCTCATTGCGGATGTGCGAACCTTCACGGTGAAGCGGCTGCGGCTACGTCGTAAAGTCGGGAGTGCGTCTTGGCGCAACACATCGCCTTCGTTCTCTCCCCAAACTGGCACCCCTCGTCATGTCTCCGGCGGCTCGGCGTCTGCGTCTCAGCTGACCAGTTTCTTTTCTCAAGCTACTGCTTCCAGCAAATCGTCCGCTAGTTCTTCATCTGATGGGTTTGGCTCAAGTGATGTAGAAGAACGCTTTGTGGAGGAGCACGTGATGGATTTGGATGGCACGCTAGTTGACGCTCTTGAACGAGTTCTCGCTCAGAGCGGTCCCTCCTCAATGGTACACTCCCGGGCTCCGTCCCCCACGCGCACTCGGCGCACTGAGGACAAGCACATGTCAGACGTGCTGAGCCGGGACGAGATGCGCCCAGTGGAGGTTCCTCGGAGCGAGTGTCGCAAACTTGTCTTAAGCGCGCTCGACGAGGTTGTTCGCAGTGTGACCGCGGAGCACTGCCGAGAAGATGAAGGCGAGCTGGGGCCCACAGACCGGGACCGCCGGCGAGTACAGACAGGAGGTGATAACACATTACGCGAGGGCATTCGTAAATGGCTCCTAGATGTTGAAGAGGCGTGGTAGGCCTGTTGTGTAGTTGGGGCGGTCTATGTTTGGGATTCATACTTTTCACCTTTGCTCCCTGTTTTTACCGGGGGAGCCCTTATACAGTCCTGTCTTCTTTTTTGCGCTTTGATATCATCATGATACCCATGTGTTGATTATAATTTCTCATCCGCCCAAGCATACATATGACCGCACCCATGCCTGCCTCCCTCACATTGTATCTCACTATGTAGATAAGTCAGACTATATCAGTCACAGATAACTACTGAATATAACATAGCAAATTTCAATACTTACTTG